CAATGCTTGGTAAGAAATGTACGCATTATCCTGCCCATGCAATTGTAACCCTCTGTACAGTATGTTCACAAATAAAATAAAATAAAATTTAAAAAGATCTGACACATAGATCTAATAGCGTGGTAATGTCTAAGGAAGAGGAAACAAGATAGGGAAGATTATTAACTTACTCAAGTTTTCTGGAGTTCGGGGAATTTGATTCCTTGTTAAGAAGGGGTTAGAAACTAGAGAGTCAATTAGTTCCTCTAATTTTATTTCTTTTCCTTCTGAAAGCTGTGGTGAATCAGATAAAACTACCCTGGCAACCTGAAACAGAAAAAAAAAGGAAAAATTAACAAGCCAACTGGTAGAACATAACAAAACTATTAAGAATATGATCTTTATAGCAGATCCTCTAATAGCAGGGAGCTATTTATAGATTATCTAGATGTAATCCTGTAAAGTAAAATGTAACAAAAAACTATTTTCTATTTTATCTTAAATGGATAGTCCATGATAAAGAAAATAACAGATAAGCGAGACACCTGTGGCTCATGCCTGTAATCCTAACTACTCAGGAGGGTGAGATCCAAGGATCACAGTTCGAAGCCAGCCTAAGCAGGAAACCCTATGACTCTTCTAACAAACTACTCAAAAAAGCCAGAAGTGGCACAATGGCTCAAGTGACAGAGAACAGTACAGTGCCCAGGCCCAGAGTTCAAACCTCAGGACCAGCAAAAAAATAATAATGGTTAAGAATCTTTTTTTTTGGGGGGTCAGGTTGTGGGGCCTGAACTCTGGGCCTGGGCACTGTCCCTCAGCCCTTCAGCTCAAGGCTAGTGCTCTACCACTTGAGCCACAGCACCACTTCCGGCTTTTTTCTTTTTGTTTATGTGGTGCTGAGGAATCGAACCCAGGGCCTCAGGCATGCAAGGCAAGCACTCTACCACTGAGCCACCTTCCTTCCCAGCCCTGGTTAAGAATCTTTATACTTGGAAAGATTCAGGGGTACTTCCTATCTGCCATACCTCTGGGTTTTATCTATTCCCATTAAAGTGACTTTTGAGCTCTTTTAGCTCAAGGCTACCGCTCTACCACTTTTTTTTTTTTTTTTTGCTCTACCACTTTTGAGCCACAGCTCCAAATCTGGTTTTCTGGTGGCTAATTGGAGGTAAAAATCTCACAGACTTGTCCTGCCTGGGCTGGCTTTGAACCACAATCTGCAGCTTTCAGCCTCCTGAGTAACTAAGATTACAGGTACCACTAGTGCCCAGTTAAAATGATAACTGTTAAGCAAGCAGATTAATTTTATAGTACATTTTCAGAATAACATCTCTATTAACAGAATACATTCTGATATATTTGTCAAAAAACCTCATTATGTGACACAGTGAACAAGGAATAGGAATACATTCAAGAAAAAAAATATGTGATATGAAAAATGGCACTATTAACTAAGTACTGTATCAGTAAAAGTAGAAAAAATTAACAAATTAAAATCTCTGCCCCTTGAGATTAAAAAAATAAACTTCCTAAAGCAATAATCAAACTGGCCCAAGAAAGCACAAAGTTTCTTAGAACACTAAATGGCCCATCTTTTTAAACTTTTTTTTCATTATTATAAAAATGTTGTACAGAGGGGTTATAGTTACTTGAGTAGGGTACTGAGTACATTTCATAGCGAGCATTGTTACCTCCTCCTTTATTTTCCCGCTACTATCACTTCTCTCCCCACCTCCCCAACTCCTCCTGCACCACCCAACCCTGACATTGTAAATTTGTTTTCAGTATAGTGTCCTGTACATCTCATTGTCACAATGGATCAGCCTGCATCCCCATTTAAACATTCTGAAATATCCCTTCCCCTCCCCAAATTACAAAAAGGTACAGAACACCGGCATCAAATCCAGTGAAAACAGGGGTTACACCATGGGAAGAGAACATACAATAGAAACAAAAGAATCACATAGTGTATTGTAAGTACACTAAAAACACTAGAAGAGAAAAAAAAAACTCGTGTCCCTGTCTTGGGGTACATTATCTCATGTGATCATATGTACAAAGCTTTTGACCTACGCTGCTTGTCCTAGACATGTACTTACTAGTCACTGCAAACAAGGGAAACCATGGGATCCATGTTTCTTTAGGCCTGAATTACTTCACTTAATATGATTTTTTCCAAGTTACTTGAGCTGACAGGAAACTTTGGCAAAATAGCAGGGTACAAAATTAACCCTCAGAAATCAATGGCTTTCCTGTATGCCAATAATAAGAAGAGCACGGCTGAAATTAGGAAAGAAAACCCTTTTGTAATAGCCCCACAAAAAATAAAATACTTGGGAGTTAACAAGAGGTGAAGGACCTGTATGACAAAAACCTTAAAAACCTGAAAATGGAAATCAAAGGAGAACTAAGCAAATGCAAAAAAGCTTCCATGCTCCTAGATTGGGAGGATTAACATCGTGAAAATGGCAACACTACCAAAGGCTATCTGCAAATTCAATTCGATACCTTATCAACATTCCAACCTCATTCTTCAATAAAATAGAAGCAATCCAAAATTTCATATGGAACAATAAAAGACCCCGAATAGCAAAAACAATCCTTAGTAGAAAGAACAGTGCTGGAGGAATATCAATTCCAAACTTCAAACTCTACTACAAAGCCATAGTAATCAAAACAGCTTGGTACTGGCACAAGAACAGACCTGAGGACCAATGGAATAGGACTGAAGACCCGAAAGGTACCCACAAACCCATAGGCACCTAATCTTTGACAAGGGAGCTAAATAAATAGAATGGATAGCTGGGCGCAGGTGGCTCACGCCTGTAATCCTAGCTACTCAGGGGGCTGAGATCTGAAGATAATGGTTCAAAGCTAGCCCGGGCAGGAAACTCCGTGAGACTCTTATCTCCAATAAATCACTAGAAAACCAGAAGTGGTTCTGTGGCTCAAGCCATAGAGTGCTCGCCTTGAGCTGAAGAGTGCACAGACAGTGCCCAAGCCCAGAGTTCAAGCGCCACGACCTACAAAAAAAGAAAAGAGAAGAAAAGAGAAGAGAAGAGAAGAGAAGAGAAGAGAAGAGAAGAGAAGAGAAGAGAAGAGAAGAGAAGAGAAGAGAGGAGAGGAGAAGAGAAGAGAAGAGAAGAGGACAACCTTTTCAGTAAATGGTGCTGGCAAAATTGATTAAACACTTGTAGAAAACTAAAACTAGATCTATATATATCACCCTGCACCAGAATCAACTCCGAATGGATCAAAGACCTCAAAATAAAACATTACAGGAAGGAATAGGAGAAACTCTAGGGCTCCTTGGCATAGGCTGAAATTTTCTGAATAGAGACCTAGAAGCACAACTAATCAAAGATTGGACAAATTGGATTGCATGAAACTGCAGAGCTTCTGCATGGCAAAGGACTTAGCTAGCCAGAAAGCCCACAGACTGGGAGAAGATCTTCACTAGCCATACAATGGACAAGGCCCTCATTTTTAAAATATAATTGGAACTCAAAAAATTAAATCCCCAACAACAAATCCTCAAAGAAACAACTGCCCGATTAACAAATGGGCTAAAGACTTAGAGAGAGACTTCTCTGAAGAGGAAATAAGAATGGCCAATAGACACATGAAGAAATGCTCAACCTCTC